CCCAGAGATCCTGACATTCATCGGAAAATGTCCCAGAGGCATCCGCGCACATGTGATGTTTGTCTTTTTTTTATAAGATTTCTGCTGTATGCATGCATACCAGTCGCCATTTCACACCGCACTCCACAGCGTGCCTTGTCTCACAAAATGGCGTTGCAACCATACGCAGATGTGCGGCTTTTTTTTAAAAACTCCTTTCCTTGCCGTTCATCCCACAAACCGTGAGGTTCTTCTTCCCATTAAGCGCGGTTCATCGGGCAAACGTTGGTCGAACAGTTCCAACCACGTGCCAACTTAGGCAGTTTTTTTTTGTTACTGGGTTCTCCCTCAGGCGTTTGCGTGAGCCGAATTTCAGCTCGGCCGACTTGCAATTAAGAATGAACCCCTGACCCCCCCCCCCCTCAACTCAGCGTGAAAGATTCGTGCCAAATCACGTTCCGAGCGGCACTGTGCAAGTTTTAACGAGCGCCAGCAGAAGTGAACGCTGGTGTGGCCCAGCGTGACACGATGCCCGCAGAGCCAGCGAGTAAGGGGGTTGGCAGGATACATGCCCACGACCAGTTATGCAATACCCCAGAGATGGGACGAGGAGGCAGAGTGAGCGGCCAATGGAAGGATCCAGAAAGGAAAAGGCAAAAGGTGCAGGTCTGAAATTGCTTCCTCATGCCGCCGCTGTTAGAAGGAACTCCACTCTGGGGCATTCGGCCTTCTCTTCCATACATCCTGGAAGAAGAGTTGGGTTACCCCCCTTGTTACCCCGGGAGACGCGACGTGCCGTGCCTATCAACTGTTAGTAGTAAACCATGTATTATGCGACCGCACGCCAAGGAGATGGAATTGAACCGGCGACCCGTGCACTGATTGCGTGTCTCGTGTGCTCACCGTTATGCCACGGCACCATCACAAGGACACAAGAACACAGCGGTGTATAATAATAATATCAAAATCGGCTGCGTACGACCGTAATGGGTGTTCTTCGTGGTGGCGAAAAAAATAAAATAAGGAAAGCACCGCAGGAAAGTTCTCAGGGCTGGTATTGTTGTTGAACGTTGAATGAAAAGAAACGACTGCATTGTTCACAGATTGCAGGCACGGCTACCTCACCCTGTTCACACGGCGTGGTATCAACAAGGACAGGTTTTTTTTTGCCTCCTCTACCGCCTCCGTTGTGTGGACCTCGACACATGAATACACCGTCTCCGTGTTTATGAACATTATTTTCACGAAATACATATATCAAAATCTGCGGCCCAGAAAGCTACCTTGGCTTGGTGGCCCATGTTTGCCGCGTGCCGGACGTTTGTGTGGTTGTTGCGCCCACCTCTGTGACACGGCAGCGCCTCGGAGGCAACAAGGCCTGGGGTGGGTCGCGTGGACTTGTGAAACTCCCGAACTTGCTCGTCTGCAAGATGGAAGGGAGATGGCAGAACAGCAAGTCGGTTCTTCATTTCGATTGCCCCAATATTACACTTGCGTGGGTTTTCATTTGGGTACTTGAGTTTCCCCACACGTGAAGCCAAAAACATTCGTTGATTGAATTAGACCAAACATCCCAAACTGTTGTAGGACCCACCTGGAAAAATGAGTCTCGACATCCGGTGAGGCTTTCATGGGTAAATAAAAGGCATTAGTAATACAAGTGCTGCATCTTTTGACCAATGTTTTGAAAATGTAATATCCATTTGGATGGACATGCTTTAATCACAAACGTAAGGGGGACCATCTCTTTACTATAAATGACGTGGCTTTTATTACTTTCTTACACAACTGTTGGCAGAAGGGCTGCCACTCGATTACCTCTGGGGAGGGTACTTTGGCCTCGTTTTCCATGGATGGGCAGATGCGTTGGAAGATGCAGGAGTAGCCACACTTTACCCTACCACACGCAACCTGCAGATCGACCGAGGGACTACATCACTGCTCATGCAGCCCGTGTTTTATTTGATTGTGTTTGCGTGTGCACTTTTTAAATTTGTGTTTTTGCAAGGAACCTTTTTTTGCCCAACACTGCCAAAAAACAAATACTGGGCAGATTTCAAAGTTGGCGCAAGAATTTGGGCACTGTTTGTCTATCCCAGGACTGATTGTGTAAATGTCGAGACTTAAGTGGCAGTTTGTAAGGTAGTTTAAACATCAACAGGTAATGGCTTGGCACCAATTTTTTTTTATATCATCGAAGAGACTCAGAAAACAAACCGGTATTTTTTAAAGGACTTTGCGCTACACTGGACAGTGCCGACACTATAAATATCACCTCAATTTACACTGCAAATTATACTGCGGGGGCCATGTTAGGGCGCCGTGCAGCGACAGTGCTTAGGGAGGTTTGTAGCCGGCAGTTGAAGTAACAACATCGTCTGGGATCCAGTGTGTCGAATGTCAATCATACTCGTGCCCCAAATGAATCGTCGCAATCCGGTGTCGCGATTCAGTTTGGGAATCTGTTCCCTCTTGTTTGGATTCTGCTGCCTTTGCTACTCGATTTTTTTGCACCCTTCTGCTAGCCCATTTAGCTTGAATGTAATATTCACATATCGTCTTCTTCTATATAGTGTGGAAAGATTGATTTGAAGCTTTCGTGACTGCAGGAATCCATACTCTTTGGTTCTTTCGGTAAAGTCACGTAGGTAGAAATAAAATAAAAATATTTCTACCTACGTGACTTTACCGAAAGAACTAAAGAGTAGAGTGTGGAAAGATTGTTATTTCTTGAGTCTCACAGGCAATTCCCTGTGTGTATTGTGAACATAATTGATTAATTTCTCTGTGATTACACGTATGTAAAAGGTAAAGGTGCTGCCCTTTAATTACTCTTGCACACTACAGGCGGTGGAAGGGCCTCCTCCATACAGGCAGCTCTGTAGGGTATTCTGCCTACTCTTCCACACTACTGTACACGTAAACACCATTCCTCAAATGCTTGCCATTTATGCACACACATTATCACACTACTCAAGAATGCGATCGCTGGTTTGTAGGAAGAAATTATAACATTTCTGGAGGGTATTGGACCCTGGCAGAAGTTGAAATTATTCACGTGAGAGAGTATAGTGGCGCTTTGAGTTTTTTTTGCAAATGCAGGGTGCCACTTTAGATGAATGTGCCATGTGGGTTATGAAAAGGTGGGGCTAGCAAGCCACTCTTGTCAACTGTTGGGCGGATCTCGTCCCGACCCAGCGGTCGGCAATTCACCCAGGCTTCGAGAGTTGCAGCTGCCGAGTGATTACACAGCACCCTCTGCTGGGTGCAGTCGTCATCCTCCCTGAAAATTCTCACATTGTAATTCGTGGCTCGTAAAAGTGGGATAACCCCGATTGACGTCTTTCCCTTTAACGTTGTTTCGCAAATACGTCGCCACTTTATTATTATTCGCACTGCGAGCCGATTTGCGTAGCTTCGACACACGCTCACGTCGCTGACAGCATCGTCCGTCCATTCTCGTTGTCCGTCGCCTCTCAGCCTTCGCCACCACCGCGTCCCACTAACTATTACCCGTACATCTCCAAAGGTATTTCCATCGACTGTTGTCGATTGTATAAAATGCCGGTAATAAGTGAGCTCTATCTAATGCAATGTTTCCAATACATTTGAGACCGTGTCAACCTTGGGGAGACCCAGGTCAGGTTGATACTATATTTGTTCCTGATGATATATGTTGTGCACGCACACACTTAACCGCAGAAAATGTCATCTTCTTCTTGAGCAATAAGACGTCAGCTTTAGCGGGCAGTTGTTACATGTAGTTTTAACAGGCTTCGCTCTGCTGATAATTAATGGAAAGAGTTGGGTTGCCAGATGCAAAAGACTTATTTGGAGATGGACAATTTACACCGATGCCGAGAGTTGTTTTGTTTTTGTACGTAACGAAAAATGTTTTAACGCCGTCAATTACCGGTGTTTTTTAAAGTGCAAAATGTTTTACTGCTTCATGGGTCTCTCGCGTGCATTCGTGCACACGTGAATATGTGTGTACGTAAAGAAACACGCATTCCACAAAAGAGTTATCAGCCTCGTGTGATCGCAAACACCTTGAACATTAACAACGCACGAAAGGCTTTCGTTGCGTGTGCAAAAGCTCTCGGCCTGCACATGCAATGCATTCATGTATGCGTTGTTGTTTCCAGCCGGTTTTCATTTTTTCCATTGCGACGTGGGTTTGGTCATAATTTACGGAATTGGAATCATCCATAACCAACCGTAGCACATAACAAGGAGTTAAATATAACTATACGCCCTTTAACGATTTAATTGGATTATGTTTCCGGCGGCAAACTGCGATGTAACGCGGCGTCTGTGTTGACCTTATAAATACATCGGAGAATTGGACGTGAAGCAGATGTATATCGAGCTGACGCGGATCGCGCATTTTGCATGGGGACTCGGCAACAAAGAGCGTCGGTGTCTCCACAACGATATGTCACGCGCACGGACCACATAAAGTTAATAAGGCACGGAAGGAACGCAGATGGCGGCGGGTCAACATGCGTCGCTGGCGTGACTTCACAGTGCGTGACGGAGCCCGGGTTCAGAGGATATGCCACCCCCGTCGCGCTGTGTGCGCGAAGGGGGTTCGGTTTTTTGTTGTTGTTTGTAACAAGGTCCCACGGTTGTAGCGAATGGATTTTGTGCCCCCAGAAACATCACGCGCCCGTGCTCTTGGCTGCAAAAACGAGCAAACATCCCAGCCAACGGTGGTCGGTCGCTGTCTGTGCAGCACCCTGACACACCGAGACGCCAAAGAGAGGCAGAAAAATGTCACTCGGCCAGTTGTGGTTCTCGATCGCCAGCGATAGGGAGACGCGATTGCTCAAAGACGTCTTCGGCGGGTTGCGCCCCGAGCGATGCCGCTATTAAAAAGTTCCAATTTGCACCGACTCCAAGTCCACGCCCGTGATGGCAGGTTTGATGGTGACGTGAGCGATCAGTGCTGCTGTGTGTGCGTGCATGGAGTTCTGGTGTCGCCGGTGCCAAGGTGAATGTGTTCTGTGTCTGCCTCACAGATAACTCAAGCGGATGCTGGGGACGAGCTATGAGGACTTCTGAATCCTAGGCTGCTTCACTGTCAAAGTTCTTTAAGGTAATAAATACGTTTTTATTAAGTTATCTCTGCTGCTGCTGCTGCTGCTGCCGTATGCATGCAAAGCTGCAGTAATTGTACCGCACTGTTGTGTATTACGTGTGTGTGTACTGTGGTTGAGGGTCATGCCAGTTGGTGACCTGGAGATGTGGATGCGCAGAAGTGTACAGTAATCCATTTCCCTTCCATGCAAATGGCAGCAGAAGGATTTTTGAGAACAGGATTTGTAAAAGTAAAAACAAGGATTTGAAAATCCAGTTTAAATTTACTAATTGGATATAGTAAGGGCTCTTCGCATTGTCATCAGCCATGATCTATCCACTGGTGGGTGAAGGTCTCGTCAGAGTCTCCCCTGAGCTGCCAATGCCTCCTGGGTCTCGACCACCGGAACACCGTCCCTTCCCACGATGTGTGTCCGGCCTCATTCCATTCCCTTGCATTATCAGTTAGTATAACGTATTTAGCATGCGACTTTTGGCTAACCATTGGACAAAGACGGTCACTGCATCACGCGCTTTCACGTGCGCTTCTGCGGCCATCTAGAACGCTCTTCCTGCCAATATTAGCAAGCCACTGGAGCTATGTACTTTTAAATTATCTAGGTTGAGCACTCATTTCTTTAGAACTGCTTTTTGTGTTTAGTTTGTCATTCCCCTACACCTCCGATTAGCACGGTTGGCTATGTACGGTGCGAACATGAATAGGACATGTCCTGCTAATTCCTGTATTTGTGTAATGCCAAGCATGCACCTATCCTTGCTTCTTCATGCACTGTTTAGCTTTTATTCTCTCTTTTTGTTGTCGATGTCCATGCTTTCTGATTCTTGTGTCACACCAGGTAATGTACGCTGATTAAACACCCTCTTTTTTAATTGCCGTTTTCATTGTTAAGTTTAGTTTTTCAGATGTACTCCTACCTGCCCTCATATCCCTCTGCGTGGACTCGTTTGGGTTTTCCCATTTGTCCCTTCGGTCGAACTCTTTGGCAAACTCTTGTTGCACATGACTCGTATTTATCTTGAGCCCCGCTCGCATATATACGCAAGCAATGTTACGTGGACATCCACGCATAGCACGCCACTGAGCGATCTCCCGCTTGATGCGTTGAAGATTTTGTCCGTGGTGCACACATAGACAGGCACACATTGCTGCTGCATCTATACGCGTGTAAGTGCTAATCGCTCAAACGCACGCAGTATTTACAGACGGACCTTGGCTTACCTACAACATGTCTATAAATTGTGTACAAGGATGGTAAGATACGATTCTGGGCTGACACCATCACAAGGCAATACTCGGTGCTGGTCACAGGGGCTGTTTAACCATACTTCACCACGCTGGTCAGTACAGGATGGTGAATTTGCAGAGGGTGGGAGGAGGACGTGGTGGTTTGTGGTCATTTGTAGAGTATTTGGCTGCTATAAATTTTAACACGATAAGCCACTTCGTTGAGCTTTTGATGAAGGGATGTATAGCTCTGTGGGCTTTACCTGGTAAAATAAAAACAGTTGATAGTTTTAATAGCTTGGTCCAGATCTTGCCGTGGCTGGAAATCAAACTTGGTTTGCCGGCTTCGTAGCCTTGATCCTGGAGAGGTTTTCCCTTCATCCGTAACCTCTGATTAGCACGGTTGGCTATGTAGGGTGCGGAAGAAGTTCAACATACATAAATCCTTCTCACCCGTGCGTGCGTGCATGGATAGGAATCTACAGGAGCCCTGCGGGGCCCTCGTGGACGGCGAGCGGCGCGATGGCGGAGGGAGGGGATGGCTCGGAGAGCGTGGTGGAGATCCTCCTGGAGGGGGATGAGGGCGTGTCGTCGCGCGACTTCAGCATCGACGGCGGCGGGAAGCGCGGCATCTACATAAAGGAGCTGGACAAGGAGTCTCCGCTCGCCAAGAAAGTTCGCCTCGCCGAAGGTGATGACGACGACGACCCGGCCGTATTGAACTCTTGCCGTGCGCAAACTCCCATCGTGCCTGATGAGCCACTTTGTTGAGCTATCATTTGTGGCCCAGGCGGCTTCTGAAAAAGAGCTACATATAACTCGGTGGAGCTTGGCTGGTAAAATATTTTAAAAAGTTAAGAATTTTTAATAGCTCGGTCCGTATCGCTCGTCACCGGTGTTCGTTGTTAGCCGTGGCTGGGAATGGAACTTGAGTCGTCGGCTTCGTAGCCTTGATCCTGGAGGTTCTCCCTCCATCCAGCAAACCTTATAACCCGTGTGCGAGCCATGTCGATCCGCGTACAAGTAAAATAGGCGTTAGCCGTTTGGCTCATTTGCTTTCCATAATATTATTTAAGGAAGAAAGCTTTGGACCGGTTTTATCACTAGGCCTATTAAACTGGATATTGTTGATGTGTAAATTCCACAGGCCGATGACTAAAACATTAAATGTTTTATGCAGCGTCACAAAACATGACCTTAATGACAATTGAAAACAACGTTGATGATAATGGAAATGGCAAGAGATGATTCACGATCGGTAATGGTCGGCATTGTTGGATATTCATTTATTTACATTATTCCTCTCCAATGTAACCGCCGCTTTTAATCGCTTCCCCGTGTATCAGCAAAAATTGACGCCCTCTTTTTCTTACTCTCTTAACCCTGCAGGGGACCAAATAATCTCGGCGACGGTCTACTTCAAGGACATGAAGTACGAGGATGCGGTGCGCTTCCTGTCGCTCTCCGAGCACTACACGACGGGCCTGCGCCTGCGCCGCACCTCCGGCACCACCTCGCCCGCCGGTTCTCCCACTGGCACGCTGGAGCACCCGTCCCGCAAAGCGGCGGGCGGCTTCTCGCTGGAGGGCGGCTCGCTCGGGGGCGTCGGCATTGGCGGCGGCACGGCGACCACCGTGGAGTACAGCCTGCACGGAGCCAGCCACCCGCGTCACCTGGAGTTTGGCGGCGCCGAGTCCACGTCCCCGACGGCGCGCGACTTCAACTTTGGCTCAATGAGCCCGACGGGAGGGGTGGGTGCACTGGCGTCGCGTCGCCGTGGCTGTGCACGTCGCCGATGATGGGGCGTCCTCGCGAAACTATGAGACGTGTGTGCGGTTTGTTGTCCTTCCCCCGCACCTCCTGATTAGCATGGCTGGCTACGTACGGTGCGGAGGAAGTTCAACACGAATACGTACATGATACCTGTGATGTGGCGATAATAATTATTATTTTGAGCACTGTTCTATTCGTGCCATTCTTTAGCACAAGGATATCACGAAATTGCTCACTTTCACAAATGAGTCTGCCAGTAGGGGGCTACGTTGCTACTTGGTCAAATTTAACACATTTGGTTTTATACTGTAATTTGAAAAAACAAATGGCCGACTATTTAATAATATCATGTGATCTGTAACATTCGCTGTTGGCATAGACAACCGCATGGCCTGGTGGAGGTTTTGTAAGTTCACGTTGCACATGTCCGGCCCGGCAGGGTTCTTTTCCCCATCGTAATGACAATAGTATATTCAAGCACATGCACATGCACTCCTGTGTGGGACGCCCCCGTTCACGATAAAAATAAAAATGGCCACACATGCGTGCAATAATAAATCGGTGAAGCAGCCTCACACACTCGCAGATGTACCATAGTGCCTAGGCCAGTGGATTAATGGGTCAGTGGGTCCCCAAACCTGTGGTGCGCCTATCCCCAGGGTACGTGCAAGTCTCCGGAGGAGCGGCGGGGGGAAGGGGAATGTGCGAGATGATTTTCACAATAGTGGTGGTCGCATAGGGGTCCACGGTTCAATTGTAGATATTCATGTAAACTACTTGCCTTGGGTGTCAACTACATTTTGTATGTAATAAAAATGTAGTTCTTTTACAATTGTGTGGCGCATGCACGGCTTCACCATTACCTTTTTGTGTTTTAGTTTTCCATTCCGCCACACCTCTGATTAGCACGGTAGGCTACGTACGGTGCGAAAGAAGTTCTACATACACACCTGTGCTTGCACTGTTTGTGCGGCTCCGTGTGAACACTATCGTCGTTTTTTTGTTCCATTTACCCCACCCTCCGCAGAGCGCCAACAATGACCAGTACACTAAGATTTTCGAGAAGAAGATCAAACCTCGTCTGTCCTTCGAGGATCTGGATGCGAGTGGCGGTCCGACAGGCGGATCGGCGTTCGAGCACGGGGTATGATCTCATGAGACTCGCCGCTTCGTCGTCGCGGCCAGTACAAGCGAGCGCACAAATGGCAAACGCAGCGGCGCTGTCACCTAGTGGCATAGAAGGCAGAATAACAATTAATACGTTTATTTGCAATTACTAAATTTAACTCCGCAAGTTTGTTATCGCTCGGTAAATTTTTTTACCATCTCGATAAGGGCCCATGTGTAGGCGTACAAGTCGATGGCATTTCGAGTGCTCACTAAGTAGCGTAGAATTGTGGATGATAAAGAAAACCCGATGAGAGAGATGTTGATGACTGAAAATGATCCCAGGAGTAATCGGGACTGCAGAGACTGAGCTGTCACAGTATACGAACATGACTGAGGGACAGTCTAGGAAAGAAGTCTGCATCGGTTCGAACACATGAGAATGAGCCCAGACAGGACACAGAGGAAGTATGAGTAGGGGAGGACAGGAATCCATGTCAATAGATGCAGAGGTAAGAGAACTAGAAGATAAATGATTGACACCGAATAGAGCAGCGTCACTGGATAAAGAGGGATGACCATGGTAGAATTAGTTCAACCCCTAATGGGCTGACAGAACAATTGATGATGAATATTACACTACCTTTTACATGCCAATATTTCAATTGTGGGGTTTTCCTCCCTGTATTTATAGTACAATGCTTGTTACATTCTCAACAATTACTCCACAATTACATACTTACACTCAAGGTCCTTGAATTCATGTACTTGCTAACAGTAGCTTAGTTAAATGTGGCAGCATGTTAAAATAGTACGTTTGTGTTTTCATTACAGATTTCTACATCTCATAAAGGAGCATCCACTCATGCAACCACTGTACTCTTCAAGGGCCAAAGAGGCTCAAGGACCTCAGGAGAGTTTGACCCAAACATGGAACACGCATTCCAGAGTGGAATTAGCTCATCCAGCTACTCGTTCAGCAGCGACGGTGGAAGAGTTTATCCAGACTTTAAAATAAAACAGGAAGCAGAGAACGGCGATCGCAGCATTAAGCTCAGCGGACCAACGATTAAAGGACCAGATGCTGGCTTTTCATTTACATCCAAGACATTGAACATTTCTGGCCCAAGTGTTCAAACCGATGCATCTGGTCTACGTGAGACTGATGCACACGGCAAGGGTGTTGACTTCTCTCTACCCGGTTTTGATACACGATCACTGGGAGGGAAAGTCTCTGGAACAAAGATAACGACGACGGAAGTGAGAGATTCGAGTTTCCAAATATCTGGCGCAGATTTGAACCTGAATGTGAAGAAGCCGAAAGTAACTGGCGGTATAGAGATAGCCGATTCAAAATTAGATGCCAAGACCAAGTCGGCACAAGTGGATGTGAATGCTCCAGGTGTGGAAATTCCTGGAAACCTGAACATAACCAAAATAAAAATACCAAAGTATGAAGTAAGCTTTCAGAAAATGAAAGGATCGGGAGCTGATGCAGGAACATCTGCAGCCTTTGAAGGCACTGTCAAGGGTACGTAAAGTTTTTGTTAATTCGTGCAACTCAAAAAGGAAACTTGAACATGCAGCAGTTCATGTAACGTGTCCAAACTAAACACGCCGTTATCACTTCACAGATCCGAAAATACACGGACAAGATGGAGACTTCAGCATCAATCTTCCTAAAGGAGGAGGCATTGATGTATCTGCACCAACACTGGACTTTGATGCAAATGGACTGAAAATGCACAGAGATGTCAAGGCACCAAATGTGCAAATGAAGGGAACAGAAGGCAGCATCAAGGGTCCAACAATTACGATGCCACACATAACAGGACCTGATGCATCTGCTAAAGGTTTAGATGTCAAGCTGCCAAAGGTAAAAGGTAGTATTGATGTGTCTGGATGTAAACAGGAAGGAAATATTCAATTTCCTACCATTGATGCAGGTTTGAAAGGGGCTGATGTCAACATTGAAGGTTCTGATGGAAGATTTCAAATGCCAAAATTCAAGCTACCAAAGTTTGGCATTTCTGGTCCTCAAATTCATGGATCAGATGCGAATTTGGATATTGATATCCCTAAAGGTGATGTTAATATTTCAGCTCCTAAAATGGACATGAATGTTAAAGGCCCAAACTTGCAAGGGGATATTTCTGTACCTGATGTAGACGTGGAGGGACCAGATTGGAATATCAAAGGCCCAACAATAAACATGCCAAATATTTCAGGGCCCAAAATATCTGGATCAGATGTTAATCTCGAATTTAAGAAACCAAGCGGGAAAGGAGCATTGGGTGTATCTGGACCAAAATTTAAAGATAATGTTAAAGTGCCAGGTGTCGATTTAGATGTTGAAGCACCTGATGTAAATCTTCAGGGTCCAGAAGGTAAATTCAAATTGCCCAAAGTAACAATGCCATCATTTGGTTTTTCAGGTCCTAATGTCCATGGATCTGATGTAGATGTCAGTCTTCCTAAAGGTGGCCTGAATGTATCTGTTCCTAAAGTCAACGTTGATGTTAAAGGCCCAAAAGTGCAAGGAGACATGTCTGTTCCTGATGTGGACATTGAGGGACCAGATTGGAAAATTAAAGGTCCCAACATAAAAATGCCACATATTTCAGGACCCAAAATATCGGCTCCGGACCTTAACTTGGACGTTAAAATGCCAAAGTTTAAAGGAGGGGTTGATGTGTCAGGACCGAAAGTAGAAGGTGATGTGAAAGTTCCAGATGTTGATTTGGATGTTGAAGCGCCTGATGTAGATCTCCAGGGACCAGATGGTAAATTTAAATTTCCTAAAATGAAAATGCCAAAGTTTGGTTTCTCAGGCCCAAAACTTCATGGACCTGATGTAGATTTTGATGTCAATCTTCCCAAAGGTGATGTCAACGTTTCTGCTCCTAAAGTGGACATTGATGTTAAGGGCCCAAAATTGCAGGGAGATATCAAAGGGCCAAAACTGGAAGGAGATATGTCTCTACCTGATGTAGACATGCAAGGACCAGATTGGAAAATTAAAGGGCCCAACATAAAAATGCCACATATTTCAGGACCCAAAATATCGGCTCCGGACCTTAACTTGGATGTTAAAATGCCAAAGTTTAAAGGAGGGGTTGAAGTGTCAGGACCGAAAGTAGAAGGTGATGTGAAAGTTCCAGATGTTGATTTGGATGTTGAAGCGCCTGATGTAGATCTCCAGGGACCAGATGGTAAATTTAAATTTCCGAAAATGAAAATGCCAAAGTTTGGTTTCTCAGGCCCAAAACTTCATGGACCTGATGTAGATTTTGATGTCAATCTTCCCAAAGGTGATGTCAACGTTTCTGCTCCTAAAGTGGACATTGATGTTAAGGGCCCAAAATTGCAGGGAGATATCAAAGGGCCAAAACTGGAAGGAGATATGTCTCTACCTGATGTAGACATGCAAGGACCAGATTGGAAAATTAAAGGGCCCAACATAAAAATGCCACATATTTCAGGACCCAAAATATCGGCTCCGGACCTTAACTTGGATGTTAAAATGCCAAAGTTTAAAGGAGGGGTTGAAGTGTCAGGACCGAAAGTAGTGATTTGGATGTTGAAGCGCCTGATGTAGATCTCCAGGGACCAGATGGTAAATTTAAATTTCCGAAAATGAAAATGCCAAAGTTTGGTTTCTCAGGCCCAAAACTTCATGGACCTGATGTAGATTTTGATGTCAATCTTCCCAAAGGTGATGTTAATGTTTCTGCTCCTAAAGTGGACATTGATGTTAAGGGCCCAAAATTGCAGGGAGATATCAAAGGGCCAAAACTGGAAGGAGATATGTCTCTACCTGATGTAGACATGCAAGGACCAGATTGGAAAATTAAAGGGCCCAACATAAAAATGCCACATATTTCGGGACCTAAAATATCGGCTCCGGACCTGAACTTGGACGTTAAAATGCCAAAGTTTAAAGGAGGGGTTGATGTGTCAGGTCCGAAAGTAGAAGGTGATGTGAAAGTTCCAGATGTTGATTTGGATGTTGAAGCGCCTGATGTAGATCTCCAGGGACCAGATGGTAAATTTAAATTTCCTAAAATGAAAATGCCAAAGTTTGGTTTCTCAGGACCTAAGCTTCATGGACCTGATGTAGATTTTGATGTCAATCTTCCCAAAGGTGATGTTAACGTTTCTGCTCCTAAAGTGGACATTGATGTTAAGGGCCCAAAATTGCAGGGAGATATCAAAGGGCCAAAACTGGAAGGAGATATGTCTCTACCTGATGTAGACATGCAAGGACCAGATTGGAAAATTAAAGGGCCCAACATAAAAATGCCACATATTTCAGGACCCAAAATATCGGCTCCAGACCTTAACTTGGATGTTAAAATGCCAAAGTTTAAAGGAGGGGTTGAAGTGTCAGGACCGAAAGTAGAAGGTGATGTGAAAGTTCCAGATGTTGATTTGGATGTTGAAGCGCCTGATGTAGATCTCCAGGGACCAGATGGTAAATTTAAATTTCCGAAAATGAAAATGCCAAAGTTTGGTTTCTCAGGCCCAAAACTTCATGGACCTGATGTAGATTTTGATGTCAATCTTCCCAAAGGTGATGTTAATGTTTCTGCTCCTAAAGTGGACATTGATGTTAAGGGCCCAAAATTGCAGGGAGATATCAAAGGGCCAAAACTGGAAGGAGATATGTCTCTACCTGATGTGGACATGCAAGGACCAGATTGGAAAATTAAAGGGCCCAACATAAAAGTGCCACATATTTCGGGACCTAAAATATCGGCTCCGGACCTGAACTTGGATGTTAAAATGCCAAAGTTTAAAGGAGGGGTTGATGTATCAGGACCGAAAGTAGAAGGTGATGTGAAAGTTCCAGATGTTGATTTGGATGTTGAAGCGCCTGATGTAGATCTCCAGGGACCAGATGGTAAATTTAAATTTCCTAAAATGAAAATGCCAAAGTTTGGTTTCTCAGGACCTAAGCTTCATGGACCTGATGTAGATTTTGATGTCAATCTTCCCAAAGGTGATGTTAACGTTTCTGCTCCTAAAGTGGACATTGATGTTAAGGGCCCAAAATTGCAGGGAGATATCAAAGGGCCAAAACTGGAAGGAGATATGTCTCTACCTGATGTAGACATGCAAGGACCAGATTGGAAAATTAAAGGGCCCAACATAAAAATGCCACATATTTCTGGACCTAAAATATCGGCTCCGGACCTGAACTTGGACGTTAAAATGCCAAAGTTTAAAGGAGGGGTTGATGTGTCAGGACCGAAAGTAGAAGGTGATGTGAAAGTTCCAGATGTTGATTTGGATGTTGAAGCGCCTGATGTAGATCTCCAGGGACCAGATGGTAAATTTAAATTTCCTAAAATGAAAATGCCAAAGTTTGGTTTCTCAGGCCCAAAACTTCATGGACCTGATGTAGATTTTGATGTCAATCTTCCCAAAGGTGATGTTAATGTTTCTGCTCCTAAAGTGGACATTGATGTTAAGGGCCCAAAATTGCAGGGAGATATCAAAGGGCCAAAACTGGAAGGAGATATGTCTCTACCTGATGTAGACATGCAAGGACCAGATTGGAAAATTAAAGGGCCCAACATAAAAATGCCACATATTTCGGGACCTAAAATATCGGCTCCGGACCTGAACTTGGACGTTAAAATGCCAAAGTTTAAAGGAGGGGTTGATGTGTCAGGACCGAAAGTAGAAGGTGATGTGAAAGTTCCAGATGTTGATGTGGATGTTGAAGCGCCTGATGTAGATCTCCAGGGACCAGATGGTAAATTTAAATTTCCTAAAATGAAAATGCCAAAGTTTGGTTTCTCAGGCCCAAAACTTCATGGACCTGATGTAGATTTTGATGTCAATCTTCCCAAAGGTGATGTTAATGTTTCTGCTCCTAAAGTGGACATTGATGTTAAGGGCCCAAAATTGCAGGGAGATATCAAAGGGCCAAAACTGGAAGGAGATATGTCTCTACCTGATGTAGACATGCAAGGACCAGATTGGAAAATTAAAGGGCCCAACATAAAAATGCCACATATTTCTGGACCTAAAATATCGGCTCCGGACCTGAACTTGGACGTTAAAATGCCAAAGTTTAAAGGAGGGGTTGATGTGTCAGGACCGAAAGTAGAAGGTGATGTGAAAGTTCCAGATGTTGATTTGGATGTTGAAGCGCCTGATGTAGATCTCCAGGGACCAGATGGTAAATTTAAATTTCCTAAAATGAAAATGCCAAAGTTTGGTTTCTCAGGCCCAAAACTTCATGGACCTGATGTAGATTTTGATGTCAATCTTCCCAAAGGTGATGTTAATGTTTCTGCTCCTAAAGTGGACATTGATGTTAAGGGCCCAAAATTGCAGGGAGATATCAAAGGACCAAAACTGGAAGGAGATATGTCTCTACCTGATGTAGACATGCAAGGACCAGATTGGAAAATTAAAGGGCCCAACATAAAAATGCCACATATTTCGGGACCTAAGATATCGGCTCCGGACCTGAACTTGGACGTTAAAATGCCAAAGTTTAAAGGAGGGGTTGATGTGTCAGGACC